TATTGTGTTATTGGGTCGTGTGTGTTTTTCGTTAAAATTTGTGTTTTTTTCGGTCGTTTCTGTGTGTATTTCGTTATTTAGTGTGTGACAAAAAAAGGTCCTCGTGAATTCTATTTCTCGAGCCTCTGGACGGCTCCGTACCTACTTCACACCCGGTCGGGCTCACGACGGTGGCCGAAACTATTACTGTCCCGCCTCGATCCCTTCGATATGCCCCATGCTTGGCCGGACTGGATCTCCCTTCGTCCACTACGTTTCTCGTGGAACCCCGAACGAACGCGCAAGCACAGATTGCAGCGGCGCTATACTGCAAAACGTCGTCCAACACGATCCTACTCGAACTTGCTAACGCCTCGCATGAACCGCTCACGCTACAAGCCAACACACCTCTGGGAACTTGGATGACGCTACCCCCGACGTACACCGGACATACTCAAAATTCTTCATCGCTACCTCCGTCGTCTCGCCTGCAGCCGGTCGACTCGTTCGACCCGCCACTGAATGGAGTATCCGGGAGGGTCCTCACTCAAATTGGGTCCCCCAATATCGTCTGCCCAGTACAAACGACGACCAGTCCAGCGAAAGAACTACCCATCGATTGGTTCGACTCAACTCTCAGCATGGACCAACGAGAACTACTACGAACGACCTTGGATAAGTTCGCCGACATATTTGTCGACCCGTCCAAAGCCCCTGGGAAGACACACCTAGTGGAGTTCAGTATCGATACGGGCAACGCGCAACCGATCGGATCAGCTCCTTACCGCACGTCAAAGGCTGAAGGCGACATCATGGATGCGGAACTGAACCAGTACCTAGACCTTGGTCTAACTGACCAAGAGCCCATGGGCCAGTCCCGTCCTTATGATCAGGAAGCCGGACAGATCGATCGGTTTTTGCATTGACTACCGCAAACTCAACAGCGTCACAGTAAAAGACTCGTACCCGATGCCTCGTATCGACGACCTACTGGACGTACTCGGACGAGCCAAACTCTACTCAACTATGGACTTCGCGTCTGGATATTGGAATGTCCCGATGTCCCAAGGAAGTATCGAGAAGACTGCATTTACCTGCAACTATGGACTTTACGAATGGCTCGTCATGCCATTCGGCCTGTGTAATGCAGTCCCATGCTTCGAGCGTCTCATGGAGCACATCTTGATTGGCTACAAGTGGCGGACATGCCTCGTTTAGCTGGACGACTGAATCGTCTTCAGTGAAGACTTCGGGTCTCATCTAGTCCGACTCACCCAAGTCTTGACCAAGTTCCGAGAAGCAGGCTTCGAGCTCAAGATGTCCAAATGCAAGTGGGGTCGCTCATCTGTCCCATTCCTGGGACATATCATCACGCCGGCTGGCATACTCCCGAACCCTGAGAAGATCAAGTCTGTGCTGCGAGTCAAACCGCTCAAAGATGTGTCAGAAGTCCGTGCGTTTCTCGGCCTCGCAAGTTACTTCAGGCGTTTCGTCCGAGACTTCTCCAAGATTGCAGCACCACTTTCAGCCTTGGTCACGGACGAGACCTTCGTCTGGACGCATGACTGCGACGTAGCCCTTGACAAACTTAAACGCAGTCTCGTCTCGTCTCGCCTCCCATCCTCGCTCATCCGGCCTTCGACCTGCCCTTCGATATTTGGGTCGACGCAAGTCACATCGCTGTGGGCGCGGTCCTCATGCAGAAACAAGATGGCAAGAACCGCGTCATTGCATACGCAAGCCAGTCCCTCTCCAAGGCCCAACAGAAGTGGATCACCAAGGAGATGGGTATCTCTGAAATCGAATGCTGGGGCGTCGTCTGGGCTACGCACAAGTTCCGTCCATATGTCGACCGGCGACACTTCACCATCTACACCGACCATGAAGCTCTCACTTGGCTCTTCAACCAAGAATCCCGATCAGGCAACTACAAACTAGCCCGATGGGCGATGGAAATACAAGGGCTGGATTACACCGTGATACACTGAGCAGGCGAACTCAATGGCGCTGCTGACGGATTATCACGTCTACCAGTTTGTCCGATCCAGACGAGAAGTATGAGACGTCTGGCCCAGACTGACCCATACCTCACGACGGGGAAAGAATCTAGTCGAATCAGGTCGCCTTCGTCCGAAGCAAACTACACACAGCCAAGACTACCAGAACCTACCTCGAACATAGCCCCCCAGCTCATTGACTTGTACGACTGACGGGGTCGACCTTCGCCCCGACTGTGCAACGAACAAGCGAACGACACTTGGATCGTAGCGTTGAGGACATTCCTAGACGAAGGCGCTGTGCCCTTGGACCCTCACCTACTCAAACTGTTCGTTCAAAACAGTCATCAGTTCGTCATCAGACAAGGCATCGTCTGCCGATACATCACCTTCAAGACACCCCTTCGAAATCCCGAGTCGTCCTTGTTCCGGTCATACCTTACACGCTCGTAGAAGAAGTGCTTTACGCTTCCCATGCGACCCCCTTGGCTGGACACCTCGGCTACATGAAGACTCGGGAACGCCTCCGACGAACTGCCTACTGGTTAGACTGGCATGGAAACAAGGTCCGATGCAACGGATGCCAATCTACTCCTTCCGCGGACCATTCGCATTTGTCGTGGTGGACGCGCTTGGCCCTTTACCCACGTCCGACAGTGGCAACAAATACATCTTGGTCTTTGCCGACTACTTCACCCGATGGGTCGAAGCCATCCCAGTACCAGACGTGAAGACGTGTCTTTATCGATGAAGTCCTCTGTCGATTCGGTGTGCCTGGCCGTCTGCTCGCCGACCGCGGATCAAACTTCGTCTCCGAACTGGCCACGACGATGTACTGGGAAAGACGGAATGCAACGCCCACCGAAGATATTTGTGTGTCACACTTTGACTTATCCAATCATACTCAAGTATCAAAATTGGTGACTCTGATTGGCTATAATTTAAATAATGGAAATCAATAAAAATGTTAGTAGGAAATCCTTCAGGTACTCATAACCTCTTCTAATCAGTTTCACTGTACTAGCTATTAAATACTGTATTCGGTGATTCAAAATGTGTAATTTAATATCCTGTCGAAGTTGCATTTTCTATTTCATGTTTCTTGATTGGCTATAAATTAGGTCGAACTTCGTAGTTAATCGGCCAATAGGACAGCTGTATCTTGTATCAACTCGAAGTTAGGGTGGGCGTTGCATTCCGTCTTTCCCAGTATGCCACGCTAGGCATCAACAAGCTGGCGTCTGCGGCCTACCCCCCCCCAAGGACAAGGTCTCGTCGAACCATTCAACCATACGATCATTTAGATGCTCAAGATCTATGTGAATGACCATCAGACGGACTGGGACACCTATCTTCCGCGTCTGCTCTTTGCGTTATCGCACATCGCACCACGAAACGCTTGGAGACTCCCCCTACTTTTGCCTCTTTGGACGAGACCCTACGCTGCCGATGGACTTGGCATTTATGAACGCCGAACCCTCCTGGAAGTCCGACGACTTGCCCCAATATAAACGTCGTCTGGCTGCATCTTGGAAAGAGACACGAAACCTCGTGGAACAACAACTGATCAACGGTCAAAACAAGAGCGCAAGGACTAAAGCTAACCAAAAACCCATCGAGTTTAGCGAACAGACTGCTGTCTGGGTCTACAAATACTTCGCCAAGTCGACTCGACCAGACTATCATCGGACGATTAAGCTAGCCACGCATTGGCATGGACCCTTCCGAGTCAAACGCAAAATGGGACCAAACACGTACAAGATCGACATACCATCACACCCTGACAAGATGGTAACTGTGAACGTCGACCGACTTAAGCCATTTCGGGGCTACTTATTCACGACCGTTCGACGACGAGATCCCCGAAGCCGACGAAGCGTCCGACGAATTGTCAATCGACTGCCTACCCTCGTCCAGCTTCGTGGAACGAGTGTCCTTTCCAGATGTCGACGTTGCTTACTCATCTACCTCGTCGCCTATTTTCCGGGTAGTCGACCTACGACGTCTACCCAACTCCCGCGAAAAGGAGTACTTGGTCGAACATGCTGGCGGTCTTAAGTACTGGATAGCCGACTCCAAACTGGCCGCATGCCGATCTTTTGTGGACGAAACATCTCGACGAATGGACATGGGATTGCCACCACTTCGGCGTTCGAAACGGTACAAAGACCTCGACGTGGAACCCCAAACGCTGGTTCACAGTCAGTTCTAAACTACCTCGACAACAACGACGACCGCTTCGTCTTCCCGGCTGCCCCTGACGTAGAAACCATGATGCGTCAGTTGGAAAATGCCCTATCCAAAGGACCTCAAATCAACGATCCTATCAACTGGCCAAAGTAAACTCATGGCCGTCTCTGATTGGCTGCCTGACAGAGTGATGGATGGAGACTACAGTCAGTTCCCGTCTGAAGACTGTTGTCCGACGGACTATTTTGACCGACTATTCCCTTGTTTTCCGACGCATTTCGTCCAATTATCTGCCCAGTCTGCGACATTATGTCCGTCCAGTCTGAGACTACCAGCACCTGGTCCCGGGTGCCGTCGTACATTTTGTCTTGGCCTTGTCATATCGTGCACTATGACCATTCATTTTCACGGGATCTCCTTCCGGCTCCTTCATCTGCACCACTATCCTCGGCTTTGTCGGTTGTTAGCACCAGCATCACTACTTCTGTGGCGATGAAAACCGGCTACGTGCAAACTGGACACTTTACCCTTTTCGGCATACCCGACACCACCTACCCAACTCCGTCGATTCATTTCTAATTCGACGAGAGGGTCGAATCTTCGCCGCGGGACTTGTGACGGAGCTGGAGCCTGGGCTTGTACTACTATACCACATCGTGGTATTACCATCGCAAAGGTATATTATTCGACGGACCGACTACCTTCGAATTCGATCGTCTTGCCTTTTATTCTACAGGATCTTTCCCCAAAGGTCGTCAGCTTTAGTGATAGTTCACTTTTACATTTGTCTAACATTAGATCTACTCCTTTCTTGCTGTGTTCTTCTTGGCCAAGCTGAGAGTATCCGGTCCTGAAGTCCGAACCTCCGGACCTTCGTAACTTTTGTGCGTCTAACCCCTACGACCGTCACATAGGCCATGCCGGGGGAGTATCCTTGTTGTTGCCCGGACGTCTCCGGGATCCGTGGTAATGCCTTCACACGCAGGAGGCTCGCCATCGGTTCCGTTGCAGCTTCTGGCTGCGGCGTCGCCGCTGCCGCCGACGCGCTGTAGAAGCCATCGTCGAGGGTGAGGTCAGATAACGATCCTTGTTGTGGGTCGTATGTCGTCGAGGGTGCCAAGGCACGCGGGGTGGCGGGCTCGGGCTCCATGGTTCTTGCAAGTTTGAGTTCCTTTAGTCAAACGAGACTAATAAATTAATATATTGTTGTGTCTACCGGTCCTGGACTGGCAGTGACTCCTTTAGAACTCGATGCATCGGGTTCAAAGGTAAAAGAAGACTTACAATGTTAAAGGTCTTAGATCTACTGATTCACAACGCATATTTGAATCCCCTATCGAGCTCTCTTCGGTCGTTTTCAGAGATCCTCGACCAATGGGCATGGAGTGCGCTTGCAAGGATACGACCTGTGTCTTTCTAAGATACTCCACACCCAACACCCATGCTACGTGTTTATTTGTAGTCGTTACGTACACAAGTGATGCAAAGTGGGGTTTTCAACCAAGTTAATATGTATACCACTACCAATTCGTCCATCGCATAACGATATCCGTGGAATCATGTGTGCCTTGTGGGCATTGTGACGACTACTGCACCTCTCCAAGGTTAGTGACACGAGGCACAAGTACCGGTATGTCAGCCTCAGTATATTTATGTCCAATCAAAACCATAACGTTCATTGATTGGATAAAATAATGAAGGTAAAGGAACTTGCATTACGATTTCCAACCACAACAGTCAATCGACAATTCCGGATGACCGGATACTATCCGTAAGAAGCTGAACCTCGGCGAAAAAACCAAATCAAGAACGGCCAAAGTGCCCTTTCTTCTTGACAAGAATCTTGGTGCGTCTTACTCGATACAATTCCCTCATTAAAACAGTTTCACTGTTGTTTTGACCCGAAATACTGTTTCAATGAGATTTATAAGGAACGTTGTATGCTCAGACCACCGGTTAAGTAAGTGTATCTCCGTGGTTAGCGATGCAGTTAACCCCTGAGATTTAGCATCGTATGTACTCACCGGGGGTAGGACGGAGTCCCAGTTTACAGGGTAAAAGGTGTTTCCGGATGTAATAATTTCCTCCTTGAAACAGTATTTCAGTTCAAAACAACAGTGAAACTGTTTTAATGAGGGAATTATTCGTCTTACAGAAGTTGTCTACTTCGAAGTATTAGACAACTTCTGCAAACGGGATTTCCTTGTGAAGAATTTCTTGTGAAGAGTTCACAAGTATTTCCATCGAAATAATTTCCTTGTGTGAAATTGTGACAAGGCAGAGAATTTCCACTTAGATAACCGGAGGTTTTCAAAGCTTTCCGGTTGATGACCCACCAGTGGCCGTCACCGATGACAGCAACGCCGACAGAAACCAAGCTAAAGGCTGCCTTTCGGTTCAAATCTTCGTCGGGCATAGACCTTCTCAAAGAGGTCATCCACGTACAGTACAGCTGCCGCCAGTACAAACGCCCCACCATTCTGGGTATGACAATACTCTGAATGGACGACTTCTACTTGGTCATTCCGGTAAACATGATTTCAGATATCCGGATTGCGAAAACGAATACTAGTAGTTTGTTGCAGAAATCTTGACACGAGGAATTTTACTTTGCGCTTTTTGTCGAAATTTCACAAGGAATTCAACGCTTGCAGAAGTTCTCTAATGCTTTATTCTATTTTCAGGGTCTATCATGTGTGGCACCTCTATTTCCGTTCTTCAACGATTTCGAAATGGCACTTCTATTTCCGCCTGGAGGTAGTAATAATTAAGTGTAACGTAATAAACCAGTTTAAGATAGCTTAACCAATTTAGGATAACTTTGTATTACCCAATCACACCTCGTTATTTGTTTGAGTCAAAATCTCTGTGATATAATGCTGACCATTGGACTCAAACGTTATATCCATTCTATTGTGCTTTTCACTAGTTTTGGCTATTCACACCATAAACCTGGGTGTTTGTTACATCGACCCCAGTGTTTTAGATAATCCGTACAGTGATTTAGGATCACGTTTCGTTTACAGAATGTAATTATAGGGACGTCATTTATGCAACTCCCTCACTTTAGCACATTTGAAAAGTGCAATTCACTGGTCATCATGAACAACTTTTGATATTACAAATGACACACAGCGAGGAGTTCCACCGTACATATGGTGCAATATCGTAGAAAACCACACCATCTTCTTGATCCATCGCAGTACATGCTACCTGCATGTACGACGCAATGGAATAACAGCAAAGGTGTTTTGGTCACTGCAGCATCACATATGCGGAGGGAAAATAGCTCAGTGGTAGAGCATCGGTTTCTTAACTCAAAGGTGAGGGTTCGATTCCCGGTTTCCCGGATTATTTTCCGCAAGGATTTATCCGTCCCTCCCCTGGGGATTCCGGATATCAAGGGCTGCGTACGAAGACGAGGACCGAACTTCGAAGGAGATCGGTCAAAGCATGACGTATGAAGCGTTGAGCGAAGTAAAAACCGAAGATTACACACCGCCCCTGGTCGAGCAGCGCATTACAATTGGCGAAGCGGTTCCATTAACAAGTGGTTCTAGTATCGGCCTCGCGGAGGAATGCCTTAAAAATTATTATCCAAACTCAATTAATCAGCATCACATATGATTATTATTGCTCCGAGTTATTTGTCATTTATAAAACCCCAGAGGATTAGCTAAAACACCAGGTATTTATTCAACT